CTTAATCAGGACCGGTCGCGAACACAACAAGTGACAATGGACGGATAAGCTTACAGGAGGAGTACAAACCAAGTGAAAGACGGGGAGGGGTGACCCAAGGAGAGACGGAGTAATGAACTGTGCACACACGTGGGAGTGAGATTGATGGATCACAGCTGCAGAGACCGCTGAAGGCTGGCACCCGGCAGTACATGTGAAGCAACTGGGCAATGATTACGAATTTTGATTAATATATAACACACAAGTTAAAACAACCAACATGTTGGTTATTAGCTCTGCCTTACACCAGAAAAAACATGTTTAGGCAATGGCTGTTCTTCAGTGTCCACCCCAAATCTCAACTACTAATGTGTATATCATTATTATAGCCAACCTCGATAAATCTACTGCTGGATGGAGGCCTTCCTAAGCCACCGTCACCACCACCATCAAACACACAACTTCTTGCAATGTTATAATCATCCACCTTGCACCAGAACTGATTTAATCGATCCATCTCCTCGGTGAATCTGCTCTCTCAGAGGCTTTTATTGCATTCAATTGGCACGTAATGTTGTGTAACTGCACGTGCTGTGTTTGCGTGAATGTACAATGTGGGGCAAGACGCTGTTTTAGTTTCACTGCTGTTATTAATATTACTCCTACCACCACCACCACCACCATCAATCAATTCTCAGACACACACAGTCTCAACGTGTGTAAATCTTCAATTGAAACACACTCGCACAACCATCTGCTGCATATGTAACTGTTAGGAAACATTGTGGCATTGTACACGAACCAACATGTGTATATTTATATATGTGTATGTACCGTGTGTGTATTATGTATGTGCCGTGTGTATGTACCGTATACAAACAGCTACAGATTTTAAATGTTCGTACTGTATACGTGCCATTACCTATTTGCCATGTATGATGTGCAAATTCACACCCTGGTAATAACCCTTGGCACGCGAGATGTTCCATCTCAAGGGATTTTCCAGGTTGAATTTTGTTGTGTATATAGAGTAATTGTTAACAGGAGAAGCAGCAGCCACTGCTGCGTAGGTAATGAATGTGAACACCTGGTTAAATAAGGGACAATGCGTGGACGATGAGTACAGCGCTTACATGAACGCACTTGGAATGCGATCAAGCGAGTTTAAACAATACCACGTCGGTCTCCGCGTGGGCCCACGTACACCACGAATTCACCATCAGACTCTCTCTATCACACACGTGTACACACACACACACGTGTACACACACACACACGTGTACACACACACATAACTACAACCTCGAACAGAACACGTTGGAGTGCTGTCAGAGAGCGCCTATTTAAATAGACCTGCACAAACCCGTCCTGATTTGTATCTCCCAGTACGTGTAATTGTTAAAAAAAAAACTTTAACACGATGGCTTTCGCGACCAATATAATCCATAATAGAGGTATTTTTGGGTGAACGTAAATATAGAAATGTGTCATTTAAACCCACCACCCGACACAGCCAACTAGTAAGGGTTGTCACGTAAACAACTTTTATTTTATAAGGTAAGGCCCACTCTGAACGCGTGATGTTGATTCTAAATGTGGAGGTGAAAAACCGGAGGAGCCGGAGAAAAATCCACGCGACCACGGAGAGAAAGAGAGACACAAAACCCCCAAATATACAGCAACAGGGTCGGGTTCGAAGCCACGACCTCCTGTATACCAGGCGAGGTAGTTAACATCTCCTAGCCACCGTGATGATGATGAGAGAGAGCCACGCAAACTCCAAATATACAGCAACAGGGTCGGGTTCGAAGCCACGACCTCCTGTATACCAGACGAGGTAGTTAACATCTCGCCTGATTCGATCCGGCTGAAGACTGAAACCGGTTCATGTATTTGCCACTGATGTCAGCCTTGGCAGGAATTCGAAATCAAGTCGTGCGCTAACCAATGCGCTTCCCCTCCCCCGCCATAAATAAACGTACAGTGTATCGATATACACAAACGACCTCTTGCGGTAGAAATGTGAAATGCGGGCACATGCATCAACGACAATGAGCAACATTTACGGCTGCTGGCGATAAGTTGATTTATTTGTTTTTGCGCGGAGATGCAGCAGCCGGGATCAGAGCCAACACAATTGAGCGGCCAACACGTGCAAGCGGTTCGGTGTGGTGATGATGATGATGATGCGTGGTTGTTGATGATGATGGTGGTGGTGATGATGAGGCTCATACTCTTAGGTTTTTTCGGTAAGTCACGTAGGAAAAAAAATTATAAAAATGATTGAAATAGAATAATATTATAAATAATACAAATTATAGAAATAAAATAATATTATTTATTTCTATATTTTTATTATAATGTTTTTTGCTACGTGACTTTACCGAAAATACCTAAGAGTATGCATCCTTGCAGTCACGAAAGCTTCAAATCTAGAATGATGAGGCTCGTGAAGGACGATGCTGCTACTGCTGCTGGGCACTTGGATGCAGTCGCTCCCCAGCAACAACGGAGGGCAGAGGAGCGACGCTCACAACAACGAGCGGAGCACCGGGCGTATAAAATTCGGCAGGTTGGCATAGTAGGGGGGGTACATCTGGTGGTGTATCTATTGGTCATCTCAGTCAGCCAACGCATGGCACCTGCTAGGTCTGGTCCTGAGATCTCCTGTAAGCAGCGAGCCTTGGACACTTCACGTGGCAGCCTCAAAGTGCACCTGGCCTGGCACAGGACGTCGTGGTAACGTCACCGTCACTTAGTAGCGAATGTCGTGGTCTTGGTGGTGGTGTTGACGAAGTTGATGATGACAGGTGAAAAAACCCACGCTGCTTTTCACGCACACACGTTGGGCCCTGCCTTCGGCGTGCGTTTGTACGACGCCACCTGCCGGAGTTGTTGTGCAAGTGTGTAAACTTTACACACAAGTGTGTAAAGTTTACCCCTTTTTAAATCCTTTATATTAAGTTCGCTTGCTTGCTTGATTACGACCGTGCAAACCTTTCGGTCGTTTTTTAACCCACTTCCCGTGATCCAATCGAGCTGACATTTTGCACACAGACTCGTTGTGCGAGACAATTAATGTTCGTGAAATTTTTTTCCAAAATTTTACACTGTTTAGGGAAAACAAATTAAATATTTAATTACCAATTGTTTAATACTGCAGACAATCATGACCCATAGGTGGCAGCCATCTCAAGCCAGAAGACGAGAGGACTCTAGCCGCCACGCATATAAAGGATTTAGAGTGAAAAACTTTGTTTTTACGGGTTTACTTATTATAAATGGGATTGCTTCTTATAATTGCGTTGGACTGGTGTCGGGGAGGGGGGGGGGGCAGCCGTAAGATTCACCGCAGTACTCTTGCCAAGAACATCTGGGTAGGCCAGCAGCATTTTTTGTTCAACACGCCCGACTGACGACGAGACCACTAAACGTGAAAACCGGCCCAAGTGTTTGATGACTTCGCCCTGACTGGACATGTGGAATAGAGCTTCATTGCTCATCGGGTTATTCCTGTTGGAGTCGAAATACTCTTGATTCTGAGCTGAATAAATGGCTGCTGACAATTATTGGTTTATAAAGCGAGGATAGTCCCCATTTTAGAAATTGTTCACAAGTTAACTGGGGAAATTGGAGCAATCTTTGCCGTCAACTATAAAACAAACAAATATTCAGTTTAACGCGTCGGCCTTCGCGACCAAGGGACCGTCCATAAATGACGTCACGCGATTTTTGACCCCCCCCCCTCGTCACACGGCGTCACAAATGTCTAACCCCCCCCCCCAGGTGCGTGACGTCATTTATGGACGGCCCCCCAATGTGTTTTTTTTTGGGTTAGATCTCGTAATATGTCGTTAAACCCGACAGCAATTCGCAAGGGTTGTGACGTGAACAAAACGTGCCAATTCGTTACTAGTTTACTAGTTCAGCACACCGGTATGTTGGGAGAGTAAACCCACAACATTTATAAAAAAAGTGGCAGGACACCATTGGAACCTCATTTGAATTGCCAGTAACAAAATATGATAATTGTTTTTTAACCCTTTGCGCCTTTTGGCGTCATCTGGTCCAACACCATGTGAGACTAGGCTCTAAAGAAAGCTGTCTCGGGTGTGGACCAATCAATTTCAAGGACAGTGCATACATTATCAGAGTTGTTTTTTTGTTTGCATTCAGACTGCAGGTAGTGGTTAATGCAAACATGACTCCTTGTAAAAAAGGTGTCAGTTTTGTTGCCAGATAAAAGGATAAAAAAAACAATGATCAAAGTGGCAGGACTCTCGTGAAAAACTTTTGAGACAAGTGAGCGGCTTTCATTGGGGAAAATAAAGTGTAATCTGATATCGTGCGGGAACACGAGGAGGTGAGAACTGGGCTTCTGTTAATACCCGAGAATAAACACTCTCGACATTTTTGCTTGGGCTTTTCAACATTCCGTTTTTGCCGAAAGAACAAAAAATTTATTGGAATATTTGCCCACGTGAGAACTTGATTTGATTGGCTGTCAAGTGGCGGAGAGTACAGTATTGCTGCAAATTGGCATTATACCTACACGACCTCACCCAAAAGGAATTGGTGGTGAAAGTCTACGTATAAAATTGGAACGAAGTTCTGCATATTATATGCTTTAAGTATGTATGTTGAACTTATTTTGCACCGTGCGTCTCCAGCCGTGCTAATGGCATAGTTAACTATGGTCTCGTGCGCCCGATCAGTGCCACGTGTCCGAGGCGTCCAACAAATGTCCGTGGGGTCGTTGTCTTCCCGTGTGACCTGCCAAGCACCCAGACGGTAAATCCAAGAGAATTCTTCACAAAGAGGCCAGGGCGGATGCTGCCTCGCGCAAAGTGGCCCACGACTGATCATTACCGGAGCTCCGTTTTTCTCGGGGTAAGAGGAAATTAATCCCACTTCCAGCGGCAGATGGGTGACATTTCTAAAACATCGGCGCATTACGCTAATTGTCGCGGGGCCACCCAACGCCGGTGATGTATAGTTAAAAATGAGAATCAAATTAGACCAAAGATTACAGCTGTTTATTGCTCATTTTCAAGTACACTTAAGCCGAGACTTGTATGGTAACATTTACAGTTTATGTTTATCAAAACAAATTTATTTCTGGTAGGCAGACGAACACAAATGACAACATAACAACACAATGTAATAATGCATGATCAACAATCAGTCCAGGGAAAGGAGAGTCTAATAATTATCAATATATTTGTTTGGACTTTAACCACTGTGATCCCAATAACCGACAGGTATTCAAGCATAAGTCAACTAATTACAATTTAGATTGCATCAGGCACTTAACAAAAAAATACATCCCTCCACCGTATTAGTACATAAACATTTTGATAGTTAATGATCGTTATCCTGTTTTTCAAGTTTCATATTCAAGAGAGATGACTGGATGTGTAAAATCATGGACCTGTAAATAACACTCTTATATTAAGTAGGCTGCACAATTTGTTATCATGCACTCTTGTGAGCCCAGTCCATTAGGACTGTGAATGACAATCATTACTCTGTAGGATGTATGTGTGCAATCAATGACTGCAGGCATTTCCATGAACAATAGAAATGAACATATGTTTTAATACCCCTACCAAACCCCACCTCCCCCATCCACCACATGCTTGAATAATTAAAGGCAGCAGAGAATAGAGCCATTTCCAATGAGGATAAACAACCCGGTGACCCATTGATAGACACCCACGATCAAATATGGCGGCATTTTCGAGGAAATCCTCAGCACGTCTCCCAACATCTCACAATGTCTTCTAACATCCCCCCCCCCCCCCAATTCATGCCGTCACCGATCCAACACAATGTTTAAACACTCATTCAGAAGCAAGCCGGTAACTGAAAATCTGTGGGTTATCTCCTTAAACGCATCACCCTGTTTATTAAGCCTCAACTGGCTTTCATCTGGTTCAAGGGCAGTGCGCTCAAAGACACGCAGCTCTCTGCGGCGGCCACAACGCAGCACGCGAGCGCCGCCCACTGGACTAGGTTACCAGCGGAGACGCCGCATTTCACACGAATTCAGCGAGCCACGGCGAAAGTCTCGTCCTATCAGAACTCCACTGCATAGCCAGGGGACACGCAGCTGTCCCAGAGATTTTAGGAATCCTGCCCGTTGAGAACACCCATGGAATGGGCCTTGAAACCGGCATGCTGTCATTATGTGACAAAGCAAATTTAAAAAATCTTAAAACTAAAAATCCCCCACCTATATATTTGAGCATTATCAGTATCATCAGCCATGGACATTCCACTGCTGGATGAAGGGCTCCTTAAGCTGCCATCACCTCTCATGATCCTGCACTGCAATACTCCACCTAGCACATACATATATATTTACCATACGTATGAAAAGAGATATACTGCAGCTGTAGAATCAATCACAACCTTTGGAAATTCTCAAATCAGAACCACATGAGGCTCAAGAAATTCGGGCACTGTTACGTGTGGTTCACTTCTAGTGCACACACGCCTCTTTGGTCCTTGAACCTGAAAGTGCAATAAAAATCATTTGGTGTCCAATCACTTAAAAAAACATCAACAAAATAGTGGAAACCCCCAACTTGCATTTACGCTATAAACTATTGTACCCTTGAAGTGCAAACAAATTTTGGGACAAATTCAATGGGCGTTGAAGTCATGCACGTGGCTCCACTGGAGAATAATCGCGCAAGAAAACACAACAGTGAATAAAAAATATATATATCGCGTCATTTAAATTGTAAGGCAGGATCTTTTTGGTATGGTGTGGATTGGAATGCATTTTTGGTTACAATATCAACATCAAGCAGAAGTGTGCAACGTTCATATTCAAGATTGTCAAGCCGACTTGGTGGCCGGGTGGCATAAGAAGTGAGAGCGATGAGCTGTCAATGTTAAGATCCTGGGTTCCAGCCATGCGCGATTAGACCAGATTCTTTCGTGTTAATGAATTGATGGGCTCATCCTGGTCGCCAATGACTGCACACGCGCATTTTCTTTGTTAACATTAAATGTGGTTCTGCATGGCTAAATTCTACCTCTGAAAATGTAAAACATTGTGTCTGTCAAGCGATGACTAAGTAGTGGAGTGGGTGGGAAAGTGCTGCCCCCTACTGTTGGGATCAGTTCAATTGAAGGCATCTCAGAAGTAGCTCTATAATATCTGCTTCTGTGGGACATTTTAGAACACAAAGGATTGCACAGGTATGCGAGAGATTCCAAGTCTGTCTCATGACAAGACGCAATAGCACAATTCGGATAAAACTTGGGAAAAACATAAAAAAAGATAAAAAAATAGGTGAAGGCAAACACATGGTCCAAGGCCTTCGCATGCAATGTTAGCGTGGTACTTTTTCTGTGTTTAACCAGGGCTGTGTTCTTTTGCATGCATCATTATCAGTCTCAAGAGTGCTGTGCTTTTAACTCTCAAATAAGACGAGAAAAAAAGACTTACTTAAAATAATTAACATGCTAGCTCTGCAGGTTTCACCAACACATTCGATATGAAAACACCGTAAGATCCACCCACCCTACCACAATCGGTAATAGCTGCTGCATCAGATGTGAGCAAGCTCCCCTCCCTTCCCCCCTGCCTCTCTCTCTCTCTCTCCTGGAAGACCACCGGGCCCCGGCTCGTTTTTGAGAAATCTGGTGGCGATGACGATCAGAGCGCCCAAGGGATCGTGAGGACATCCAGGAGAGCAGGCTCCCATGCGGCCTTCACTCGACGAGCTCCACGTAGTTGGCAGGAAACATGCCGCGAGAGCCGTCGGGCCCCAATCCGTTCCACCAGCCGTCGTCGATCTGCTCGATGTCAGAGATCAGGTCGCCCGGGTCGAACGAGATCTCCGTGTCGTCGGCTGCAAGGGGTGGGGGGGGGGGGGGTGGGAGGTTGCATGTGAAACGCAGAGTGTGACACGCGCGGTGACGTTAAAGCGGCCACGTGAAACGCAGTGAGCGTGGCTTGCGCGGCAAACTGTAGAGGTCCGCAGCTAAATAGAGGCTGCTTTCTTCAATGAAAATGTACGACTAGTTTCGTTAAAAAAAAACTGCTCGTACAATTTATTCTCGTGTTATTAATATGGTTCAATACGATAGAAATAATGTCTAGTTCTATATAGCGGTTGTTCATAGAAAATTGCATCTCACAATCACAGAGGAGACACAGATACGCTGGAAGCCAGCCAGGTAGTGAGCCGATGCCAACAATTGTCCAAGCTCTGCAGTTCTCAATGTAATAAGTTGTTTTCGGCAAATTAACGAGTGTTCATACATGTGGAAGCTAGGTATGATGGCGAACCACTAAATTATAATTTGAAAGACTGTATAACTACATTTAATTACAAATGCTATCAATGAATTGGAGCAATTTTAAATAAAAGCTCCACAGTTATTGGTGGAGGATTTGCATTCGATTATGATTTCCTCACCTAACGATGCTCACTTCATACACACAGCCCTGAGCCAGTGGTGAACACGTTTCTTTGGAGTGGGCAGGTAGGAACTTGGTTGGACAGCGCATTCGTGCATGACAGAAAGCTCGCGGTCACGTGACGCACTTCAACCAATGCGGGAGCGTACATGTTTGGGAGGGGCTATGCACGACAGACAAATAATCCCTGGCGGGCAGTGTGCAACTGTTGTTCCTACCTGTAAAATTCCACTTTCCTATAACAGGGGCGGGATCATCCCTTAACGGACAGCCACAGCCCCACGGGCTCATGCGCATTTGCTTGGCGGTCGGAGAGAGCTTTGATGAATACGTCATACCTGCTTGGTAGTCATAGAGTGCTCGTGCACGCTGGCCCAGGCCCTCCGATTTGGCGTTCCCCCCATGGTCGGGTTCCTCCTGCACGCATGCAAGACGCACGCAAGACGCACGCAAGACGCACACACGCAAACACACACACACACGTGTCAATGTCTATAGTTGAGCGGCGGCAGTGGTAACACTTGTGCCTCACCCCAGACCCTCCAGAGTTGGATTCCCAACCCGGGCGCCTTTCTCTGTGGAGTTGGTATTTTTCCTCCCCCCCCGCCATCCCCCCCCGCATCGCGTGGGTTTCCTCCTGGGTTCCCCCGTTTCCTCCCAAAGCTAAACAAAACAACGTAACTGGTATTGGCCAAACAACTCAATGGTGAAAACTTATCTACAAATTACTCGGTGGGGATTCCACATAGCAGCAACATCGTCCCCTAGCGCACCAAAAAACGTGGCAGGACCCTCCTGACAAAGAGTTTTGGAGAAGCCAGCAAAGCTTGCCCAGGTAAAAAAGCACAACAAATGAATCAATAGAGATACAATAATCAGTGAGAACGTCAAGTTTGGCTGGGCCCAGAGTGCTTTCTCAGATTGCGCGGTCTGCTTGCAGCGATTGACGGGAAGGGGGGGGGGGGAAATGTCGCCAGTCAAGGGAAAAACATCGAAGGTGGCGTGCACAGGACGGCAGGACGGCACGCACGACGAGCACTAATCCAGATGAGAGCTACGGAACGCAGCAAGCAGTGGGGGGGGGGTGGTGCGGTGGATTACCAGAGCGGGGGGGGAACACCAAGGCCAAGCGGCACAAAGAGTCGAGGATTTCAGCGTAATGAGATTAACTGACGCAAGTCAATTTTTCAAACGCGATCCTGCAGACCGCTAATGAACCCATCTGAATTGTATTGCAGCGCCGGGGTTCAATAAACAATAGGTAAAGTAATGACTCGACGGAATTACAACATTAAGATTAACGAGGGGCCCATTGCTCAACGGATGTCTCTTTACCTCTCGCTCCTCCGGTTCTTCCACCTCTTCTCTTCCGACGGGATGCGCCTCTTCTTCTTCTTTGGGCTCGTCCACTAAACGATTTAACACAGCGACCCGACAAGATCACGGCACGCATGCACACGTGCGCATCCTTCACACGCGCGCGCAAGCATGTCAGACGTCAAGTCAAAGTGATTCCTCGCCTAATTGGTGACCATCTGTTGCTTAAGAGTCCTGAGCAAGTGGTGTAAATTCCACATTCCTCTGGAGGGGGGGGGGATAAGCACTGTTAACTGCCACAACTTGGAATTCATTTTATTGTCCCCCGGAGCAATGATAGGTCAAGTAAACTTCCAACCAGGATTTGAAACTGGCAAACCTTCTGATTACGAGCCGCTCGCTCTACTGCCTAGCCACCTGCAGAGCAGCAGTGTGTGGTCAATTGGCAATGGATGGATGAACTCAAAACTACTCTAGTTTGTGCAGATATGCATTTCATGTTCAACCACACGAGCATGTAGTCTCCACAAGCAGGCATGTTCGTTGATCCAAAATGTGCCTCTGGGAGGAGCGCATTGTCCTCGTGCGGATGTGTGTTTTCTTGCAGAAGTAATTAAAAAGTAACCACGAGAAATTATGAGAAAAGCAAATGCCCTGCAAGATCTTTTACCTGGTTCTGGCTCATCTTCCCAGGGCGGCTGCTCAGGAGACGGTGGACGGACGTTCTCCGGTTCTCTCTTCGGAGCTGCGTTTCTCGCCCCTATGCCAATGATGGGAAAAAAAACCCACGCATAAATGCTTGGTCAGCTTTTGGCTCACGCGCGACAAAAACGTTTCCATTTGCGCCGTTTCGATTAAAAAGCAAGGAGGCTAGGTCTTGCAAAGCTCTACCAATCACTCGGCACAGCCCACATTCCGCAACTCGTCCCCACCAGTCCACCGTCACCATGGCAAATTTACATCCTGTGCCTGCGCGCTCACGCACCAACCTAGCATCCCCCATCCTGAGAGAGAGGCATGGTCATCCAAGAATTGCTCGCCGTGGAAAAAGGAGCAAGGGCATGACGCGAGGAGGAATGAGGGTGACGCAGTTGGGACGACGCAGCTGCCACTGCACATCAACAGCTCGTAAACAAACCCCCAAAAAAGGTCAGAGTCTATGTTTGATGTGCGCTGAGGATGATTGGAGCAGATTGCACTGCGGGGTGCGGGCGCTTGGCAGCCGAGGGCCTGACAGTCAGCAATAGCAATGTCTCTCTCCCGGCTTGCGTAATGTAAGAACTTCAGTACGCTTTGTGTGTCAATTACCTGCGTACTCAAAAGTCCTGCGCGTAAGTAACGTACTGCGTATTTTTTTTTCCCCCAACAAATTTCAACCAGCGGAGCTGGCTGCACTTGTATGGGCGTGGGCAGACTATTGCAGTATTGCCGCACACTGTCGTGCAATCTGCGGAGGACGAAGGCTGCGATAAAAGGAGGGCTGTGCATATTTTAGAGATGCATGAGGATGCAAGTGCTCATGCGTCTGAAGGGGTGAATATTTTCCGAAGAAAATGAGGATTGCAGTGGGGAGTATATCAGATAGTCTCTGAGGCTTAAGAATATTTCATTCGTTTTTTGTTGTTGCATGAGAAACCTGGGAGGAAGCATTCTACAGTTTGAAAAATATTAAATTGGCATTGCCATTACGGGCTACGAGAAATCATAGCCATACACGTCGACAAAAAACTTCAAAGAAAGAGTTTTCAAAATAACATTGCATGAAAAAAAAACTTCTGGTAATAATGCATGTCGCTTGAAGGTCACGCGGCTGACCGGGTAGGGGTCCTTGAGGGGCCTCTGGCGCAGGGGACGGGCGTCCAGCTTGCTGCCTGAACATTTCACGCGGGTCAGCGGCCCTCTGGGACACCAGCGAAGCAGCCTCCTGGAAATTCAATGACAGATTTTAATTAAATTCCCACATTAATTATGGCACGAAGATTTAACGTGTCACAACTAGCAGATCTGAAAAAACAAATATGTCACTGCCGCTTTAGCGAACTTCAAATTTTTTACAAATGGGTTTAGCGAGAGGTGATTTGAACAAATTACCAGCTGGTGGCTCTGAACATAAATTTTCAGTGAGCATACGTCAAGACAGAGGGGAGCGGTGGTGCAGTGGTTAGGATACTGCGCCATGAATCCAATGATCTTCGAGATTGATTCCCGGCTAAGGCTAATGTAACCGGGCGAGCGATATCTAAATCGGTCCTGATCGCCTAATTCACCAACCGGCAGTGACCAGCGTGGTGAAGCATTGGTCAAACAACATGGATAGGCTTTTATCCAGCAGTGCATTGCAAAGAACTGGGAATTTGAAGTCAAGCCAAATTTTATCCCGCCTCATGTGACAGGCACACTAAGTGTAGAGCAGGAATTGCTGCAGCAAGCTAAACACTAACACCCGCTCGTGGCTGATGATGCAACGCAAGCACAGGGGGAAGAGTGATTGGACCGATTGGCGCATTTGACGCGTTGGCGATTTGGCACTTACCGCGGCTTTGCCTCCACCTTCGTTATTCTCGCGCTGCCGATCTTCGTGCGAGCGGCGCTCTTGCTCTGCCTGTTGGCACACGCACACGTCCACACACAAAAGGACGAACAGCCTGTATTCAGCGCGGCGTAAATGTCAGGGCAGGTCCCCGGCTCGCGGGCACACAAGAGAATGGTACAGCGAGAACTCCAGCCTGTACTCAGGAGTGTGCTTGTGTTGACCAAACGCACTGGGTAATTATTCTTCAGGCTAAGTGGACCTAGGGGGCAGGGTTTTCCAAACTCCGTGACCCACCACGGAGATGGCTTTCGACGAGCAACTGTCTTCTCGGTTCAAATATAAATGAATTCCGTACGTACTGCAACGCCCAGGATGACTGCCGAACACATCCCTTGTAATGCAGGGAGTGCGTTTTAATTTAAAATGGTGCTTCCGATATTATGTGGAATATGCAATACACACATGCAAGCACAAGATAATGATCTAAATCTGTCACATGGGAGGTTTTTAGCAATCACAAGGCGCATATAGCGTTTAACGACTTAATTGGATTCAAATGGAAAAAGACTGCTAAACGTGGGAAGGTGACCCGTTGTGTGGCTTTCAAAGACTGGCGTTTGGAAAGTCCTGACCTCGGTAATACCGACACCAAGTACACACAACATATTGCACTGCTGGGATCGGTCGGTAAAGAAATTTGTGGCATGCGGTGTAGCTGCCACACGACCAAATCACCAGTGCGCTCCAAAAAACATCGCCACACAAAACGAACCACTGCAAGCACAACGCACAAACACACACGCACGCACAGCAATTACACGCTTTATTACGTATTCGTACAATGTCATAGAGACATACATCACATTTATGCACTGTGTCGTCAAATCACCGCGGAGCCAACGGAGCCATGGGGGTCAACACGCTGGGGTCAATGCGGCGTGTGTTAATACGAGAATGAAGAGATCGACTCCTCTTTGGAAAAGCCTTCGTTGCCCACTCTGCTGACCAGCTGCGCCCATTAAAAGTAGCGGAAATTTATTAAGCGATGTTAATAAATGAATTGCAATACATTTATAGGGTGCATTTCATCCGTAGATCGCAACACGAACTTCAGAGTGCGGACGGAGCACAGGAGACAGGAATAAACGCGGCTACATTTTCCAGGCAAGCTCACCCATTTCTCCTTCTCTCGCGCTTGCTTCTCCGCTTCAGCCCTCTCTTCGACCTCCCTGCGAGGAGAGAACGAGCTTTCAACGACGCTTTGCCGCTGGAAACGCTTCGGTGTTAGGTTTCACGCGTGCGGCAGCTGCAGGCAGGCAGGACCAACATATTATGGCTTGTATTCGTGCAATTTCTGGGTATGCTATAAATCAAATTCATACCCAACACCAACACGAATTTCAACAGAATCACATTAGCCTCTTTTCTTAGCTCCAAGTTTACTGCTGCTACTGCTGCTGCTGCTGCATTACAGAATCCAATCGTTGACAATTACCATTGGCTAATCATTTTTGGATAGATGCTCCATTTAGGCGTTTTAAGTTTTTTTTTTCGAATTTGGCACAAGGAAGCAAAATGAATTAAATAACAAAAAACCAGAAGAGACCACGAATAAAAATAAACGTCTCCAATGTAACGTATTATGTTTCTTCATATAATTGCGCAAATGCACTTTCAGATATATATTTTTTGTAACAGACCTCATATGGCGTAAAAGAGGAATTAAATGTGTTATTTACTACTGCACAATGTTTAAACTCAGAATTGGAATGAATAAGTTAAGACACAAGCTCGCAACAAATCTACGACAGGTGTTGTGAACAATGAAAAATAGTCCTCAGAGATGAACCCAAAGAACAAACAGATGTTATCTGACATATATAAGGGATGTTATGGAAAAAAAACTTGATAACCCACATATGTTAAGATAACAGATGCTAACTTCATTGCAACACTTTACAATCCAGTGTCGATCATATCCCCAAGAAGTCCACATGATGAACTTAACAATCAACTTTTCTAAACCATTGAATCTGCCTGCTCTCAACAAAAGTCTACTTTATGGATAATGACATTGTGGTTTGTCAAGTTTTCCAAGACGTCCATCCTGTGCAAGTGCATCAAGGCTGCTCAACACAAGCTTCAATGCTTTGCCAATGATTAAAAGGCCAAATTAGACGATTGAACTGCCTACAGTGAACTCTAGTGGTGTAACTGGACGGACGCTGCGTAAAATCTAATGAGTAACGTTCCAGGCACTGACAGAGAAACGCTTGAATTTAACTTTAAAGTACTTTTGCACATTTCCCTCACTTACACATTCCTGCTGGACTGTGCAGAACACCTGGCTCTTAGTATCTACAAGACAAAAGATATTCCTAGTTTTGGTTGTGTCGTCCATGAACATCTGTTGTACAAAAAATAAGATCCTTTGCTAATGGCTTGTCACATTACCGATAGGCCACAGGAATTGAACCATCGATTAGCGCGGTTGGTGCTAATTGCGGTTGGCTACGTACGGTGCGAGAGAAGTTCAACATACTTACAGACATCGATCACGAGCAAATCAGCCGAGTATGTATGCATGCATGTTGAAACTTCCTTTGCACCGTACGTGGCCAACTGTGCTAATTGGAGGTGCAGGAGTTGCGAGTACGTGGGACACACGAGCACCCGGCTCCTCGGGGAGTACCGCGAGCAGTGAGCGGGTGAGCACGTGCACTTGTATCACCCACTTTTTTTTTACAATTTTTGTTGACAATGTTTGTTGGCAATTTACAACAACGGTTGTTATAAACGTGAGATACTGAAGCGAGGTACAACAGACAGAGAGAGGCAGGTCGCGATGGATATGTCAGCCCCGCGCTGCCGGGCACAAACCGCTGCTGGGAGATCTTCTTCTCCTTGTCGCGGCCGTGTCTGTCGCGCTCCGCAGCCTCCGCTTGCTCGCGCTCCTTGCGCTCCGCCTCCAGCCGCCCGCGCTCCACGTCCGCTCGCTTCTGCTCCTCCGCTTTCCGCTGCGCCTCTTCTTGCTGCGTGGACAGACCCGAGTTAGCGCCCGGCCCCGTGGCCAAATGACAACCACACACCTCTTGATTTGCATGGCTGGCTACATACGGTGCAAAAGAAGTCCAACATACATACATACATAAATTATTACATTTTTTATTTTTTATTTTACCAGGTAAGGCCTATTGAGCTATATAGCTCTTTTTTAGAAGCGAACTGGTCACAACTGACATGTCAACGAAGTGGCTTATCATGTGGACATTTATAGCAGCCAAATATAAGTAGAGAGATATGCAAACTCTAAAGATACAGACATCAGGGTCGGGCTCGAACCCACGACCTCCTGTATACCAGGCGAGGTAGTTAACATCATAAACCGACTCTCGTGCCCCAATTCTTGTCGGATCTCGGAATGAAGCAGGGCTGTGCCTGGGACAAGGCGTTGTGCTTATCCAGTATAAAAGTAAATTTAATGTGATGGGGTATTTTGTGCGCAGGCACTGATGACCAGGCTGAGACCACCAACTTGCTAAAGGTGACAACCTGGTTTAACCTTTAATGACGCGGGTTCGAACCCAGGATTTGAATGGTGCCAGTTGAGAGCTCTTAACCTCTGAGCCACCCGGGCACCTCTGTGTAGCTGCAATTTACAATGAGCTATTGTTATCTTGTAATCAATCGCAGCTCGGGTACGGGCCTGCTGAAACCCGGTCTTTCTCAAAAGAGATTTACGTAGCGTTAGTAAAGTGGGAAATGTCACTACAGTTTCCAATAATTTATTTATAGGTAAATACCACAACTAAATGAGTTACATGAACAAGCTGCAGTTAAACTGTGAATGCAACGAGCCAAACTGCATTGGGTTTCATTTGGTTTGAAAAGTACTTGGGGATGAGCTCAAACATAATCTGAAAGAGACCACATCCGCACGGTTCGCTTTAGAAAGATGCAAAACTCCTCCCGAGCCGCTCAAGGCTTTTTTAGGGCAGATTCACCTGGCACGACAAGCTCTGCGCAAGACTCCATTAATCTGGACCGTGCCCTGCAGTGCTCACACGCAAGCAGGGCACATCTCCTCGTTTCCCTGCCGATGCGCGGCAACGCACTGCGTCACCAGCCGACCCCGGCCACGCAAAACGCGACTCCTCAGCACATCTCTCACACTCACTTGCGTTTTTTCCCAAAAGCTGTTGTCCTTCACCCTGCGGATTTCGCTGGCAGCGTCCGTCTTCTTGTACACCGATGCCTGGACGCCGGCCACAAGGACACTGGGCAATTAAAAGTGGACACTCTGCAAAGTACAGACTTATGTCTTTTGCATGCGCAGCAACAACACTCAGCAACCCTCAGCAATCTTATTTATATATATAAAGATAACACATCGACTCAATCAACTCAACAATACTGTGATGCAGTAGCTCTCAATCTCCCCCCCGTATCCCCCTCTAGATGGGTTGTGCCCCTTTCTGGGGGCGTTTAAACCTTTCAGGGACTGGGAGGGTGCAGGCTGCGGCATGGATGCCGTGCAGGAGAAGGTAAAATAAGAATTAGCACTACATTCACGCGAGATGTAAACAGCTAATCTGCGTATTGTGGCCTTAGTAACCTTGGTGGGTCTGGGGGGAGGCTGGCACGGAGATGAGTGGTCTTAACCGGGAGGGGTTGAGACGCACTGCTCTAATTCATGGCCGTGGATTATTGCGGTGTGTTGAGAGGTTTTCCACTCTCCGTAGCGAGCGGGTGAAGCGAGGCGCCTGCGTGTTTTATTTAATTCCCATACCACGGGTCCCTGGGGCTTGTTGTCGGCCACGCGAGGCTTTTCCTTGTGGATGCTATAATTGGAGCCTGACGCTTTGGCGACCTTCTCCCTGATCTGGTCGGGTTCGACGTCCTCCTCTGAGCGGGCGTTCACCGTCACGTGCGCGCCCTGCGGAGGGAAACAACAACGGCTCAGGACCGACACTCTCCGTCCGTGCACGACGCGAAAACTCGTCGCAACAGGAAAGTGCGTGCGGCATTTGAAACGGCCGTGGCTCTTGAGCTGGTGGTCTGCACAAGGCTAAGAGCATTGCACGTGTGTAAGCTGTGGTCGTCACACGAAATGCATGCAAGGAACGATGGGAGTGGTGCTTCTCCGCTCTTTGCGCGCAAACCTGAGCGTGTTGCAATAACTTCATGACGATTTTTTTTTATAGAGCGCCCTCTACAACGATAGGTCTCGGAGTGCTTTACACGAGTAAAGACAAGCCGCGAGTCAACGTGCTGTAAACAAAAGCGTCACCCTCCTCTGGCACAATGAAATCACATTCCGTCTCGATCGCTCACCCTATTTTTGTCCCTCTCTTAATATACAGCCTTAGATCAATACGTTTGGCTTCAATGATGCATCAAAGTGCCTCATTTTCTGGTAAAACAATACGCACACGCATGAATGCGTGTGTAACACTGGTAGAGGTAATGGAGTTGTTTTAGCGATTTAACATTTACAAAAAAATGCAATCGCTGTGTCAAATTTAGTCCTATGCTTTTTTTGGTTCATTCCTTGGCAACAAGCTTGTCAAAAACAAGCTCCACAGCAACATGATCAGAACAGGTGCCAGATGCACTTTTATGGAAACCAGCACTCGCTCAAAGGCTCTCATAAAACGTAGAAAGTGAAGCGAATTTAAGGAAACGTGAAAAGCTTCTCTTTCAGCGTCGAATTTTTTCCGGCGCATTAGCGGTAACGGACACCGGTAAATGTGCTCATTAATGGAGGACATCAATGGAAGTACTGAATTCCAATCCGGTGCGCCCATAACTTGCCCTCGCCCCCCTCCACCCGCCGCCGAGAGCCGGCCCCTTAGCGGCGCGCGCAGTGACGCGAAACGAGCGACACGCGGTGGCGTCGGGTTACACGTATCCCTTCTCCGTCCACTATTTTTGGGAGCACTCTGCAATTCGTTCGGCACACACGACACCAGACTACCGCGTCCTTAGTGACTGCGAACACCCCCCCCCGCCTCCCGCTCCCCTCCCCCCAAAAAACTGCAGCACGTCCTTCTCTGGCCTCCCATCAGCAATTCAAGTTTCCACTGCATTCACAAAAAAATGACGTCGCTCATTGAAGACGCTGCCAGCTTTGGCAATGACACAGGCCAGTTTAGCCGCTGTGGCGTTTCATCGAGGGTTATAATGGCATGCATTTTCGTCAGCATGTTCATGTCCAGTGCCAGTAGGTTCACGGTCAAACTCTTTTAAAGGACCTTTTTTTTTAGAATCTTATCCATTATTCAAGCCAGACTTGCCAAATGTCTAGAATACCTTTCTGTACCTCAGGACCACATTGGCATCCCTGGGGATAAAATTGTCATGGCTGCACTGTGACATAAAGCAGCAGCAAGCCTTGTTGAGCACACAGAGAAAGCCAGGCATTAAACGGCGTGAGTGGTAAGGGCCAAATGTTACAGCCAGAGAATAAGCGATGGAAATGTACTGGACGACTCTTGCCCACACTCGTTAAACTTGAAACACAACTCAAAACACAAAAGTACAGCTAATGTGACTGTAAACAATCACACTTTGCTGGGTCCACACACGCACAGGATATGAGATTTTAACTCGCAAAAGTACTGAAAGAAAACTGTTTCAACACATTTGTAGTGTTAAAGATAACAGTGGACGGGCATTCAGATCACTGTCTTTGTGTCATACATGAACCGTTCTCTTAAGAGTTTTGCTGATCAGTCAAAACACTTGCCGCTGACATTTAAGGCTGTGATGCTATGAATGAGATTTTTTATTAGATTTTGCAAGTATGCTCTTACTAAGATGACGAGAAAATTTACTGTAAAATCGTCCACGATAACAATTACCGATCAAAGCACTCAAAGTGGCCGTGGTATATTTTAAGAAAATAATAAAAATGTAATCAATGATGACATTTAATTAAAATTGTCTGACGCACATTAACGGCATGTTGTTTTTAAAGAACCCTGCTCTAAATTTTCACATCTTTTCGAAATTGTTCAAATTCGAAAATAGATTTTTAAAAAATTAGTTTTTTTAAACATTACGTTTATAAACAACCAAATTAAGTTTAATGCAAGCTTGGCTGTGATTATTAATGAATTGTGAAGCTCTCTTTGAATCATTCACATTCATCAGCTTCCTGTGTTCGAGTGTTGCGTGTGTTCATTTGCGTGCTTGTCCGAGCACAAAATATCTCTGTAATGGTTTCCCTGATCTTGACAACATTTTAAAGAGATTGCCTGGGAGACTGCCTATATTTCCTGAGATGTATTGTCAGGTCAGAAGGTGAAAGATTACCATAAACAATGTCACCAAATGTTATTGCGGGTAGGAAAGGAAGTTGGTTAGATGGAAATGACCACTCGATTTTATCGCACACCCCGTGTGTCCGTGCGATTCAGAGGGTTGGAAACGGCAAACGGAATGGGAAAATGGGGACTTTGCTACTGCGCCACGACATTGGACAGTAAACACAGCCCTGCAGACTTATCAATCCCAGTGTGATGTCGACAGCAGGCCGGAAGTTGGAAAAGGGGTGACATCGGTGTGGGGAAATAAATAAATAACCAAATATAAACATTCTATCTGCCAAACATTTTTTTTGGGAAGAAAGTGAGCCAAAAGCAATCCAAATAGATTGGGGAGCAAAGATACGCATGGTACGGAACGGAAAACAGCGAACCAGCAATGGGTCAGAAACAATGTACAACAACGAAAGCAAACATTAACAGGCCCCACCAAGAGGCTTCCAAACACCATATCCACAGGCTGGTATGTAACTGTAAGTACATTTATAAACCCTCAACTCTTGTAACCTGGGTCAAGGGTCGGCAACCGACGGCTCCGGAGCGACATGCAGCTCTTTAAATACTGCTTCGTGACATTATTTACATCCATTTCGGCTATTGAAATATTGTTTTTTACCTAATTAATAAAAACAATTGCTCTTCTTGTTATTTTGGTTGCCGATCCTTGACCGAGGTTATCACAAGGATTAGCACTTCCTTTTTCGATTTTTTCCCCTCGAATTTTTGCCTAAATATGAAAGATATTCTTTACATATGATGATGATGATAACAATAATGATGACACTGATGGATTGTTAAGAAAAGTAAACGGGCTTCGGTAGAATACGTCGCGAGAAAAGTTTGATGGTCGAGACCAACGACAGTGGCAGCCAAGGGTGGGAACGGCGCCCGAGAGAACATCCACAGAGAAGCGGCAGCGATGAAATGTGCAGGAGAGCTGGTGCCGGATAGATTGTTATATCGCAGGACCTAAAGAGATTGCGATGACGGCTTAGGAAGGCATTCATCCAGCAGTGGATAGATCATGGCTGCTGCTGATGATGATGACGAAGGGTATATTTGGCTGGAGGGCTCACCTTGAAAAAGGCAGCGATGGCACTCACATGATTGGCACAGATCCCTTTCTGGGAATCCTTGACTCCCTCCCCAGTCTGCCGACCAGGAAACAAACATTACAGTCATCAGCAAAGTGCAAACAATGATTCCATATACACATTTATTTCTTACAATGAGACAATTCTCAGCTGGAGGCATGATTTTTTAAACGGCTAATTACTAATGTTTCATACGCCATAAATGTCTCTTTAAGAGGTGGAGCAGAGGAAGTGGTTAACGCACTGTACTATAAACTTGGGGACCTAAGTTAGATTCCTCCAGACACGGCTGATACGGATTGCGAGTGATACCTGAGCTAGTCCCGGGGGTTCCCCGCCCACCAACCACACAATGACCAGCGTGGTGAAGTATGGTCAAACAATCCCCATGATCGACACGGCATGGCGAAAGCATTCATCCAACAGCAGAATGACAAAGGAGTGTAAACGTGAAATATTGCCTTGGATAGTTTATTGCAAGAAAAATATCTTCGACACGTGGCACAACCTTGGCATCTGCTCAAGTTCAGGTTTATTTTGTTTATCTGCCGGTGGCACAGACCCCGATCCAAGTGTTGCCGCTCGGAGTGACAGGTGAGAAAAGCCACACGGTCGTCAACTTGTGAAGGCTGTGGACAAACGTGGATGACTTTCAGCCTATTGGTGTGCTTTTACACCTCTTGCTGGGAGCTAAATTTGCAAAATTGAATTCAACATCTTGATTTAAGCCACAATATTAAATGTGTAATAAAAAGTAGTCTCTTTTCAATAGTTTGTAGTGCATACTGCTTATAGTTATTTGAGTTCAATAATGCGTTGTGGTGAATCTTTTCCACTGGGAAGATATTTCTGCCGGGAATGTGTTGACAAATTTACGATTGTTTGTGTAATATTTTACTGTTATAATGCTGCTTGGCTGAATCACTTGAAATGTTTTGTTGTGCCATTCATCTACCCCTCTCCTCCCAGGGGGGAGGGGGTTGCTCTTGAAAAAGAGCTTGCGAGCACAAATGGGCCTTCCCCCGGGAGACCAAAGATAAAATATTTGAATTTGTCCGCTGTTCATTAAATTTCCTCAGACCGCAAGGGAGCAACTTGAGTTGGATGAGGCAAGCTTCAGATTCACTCAACCGCATGATAAATATTGTCACTTGTTTTATTCAGCAATGCCTCACCGAGGAAGGTCCTCTATTGGGATGACTGGCAAAATACTTTTCAATTAATGTTTTAATGTGGGAGACAATACGCGTTAATGGATAACACTCATAACGTGTAGGGATAAGGCTCAAAGATCCACACAGATGGGTTTGTGAACCATTGTTTACTTGTAGCCATCTCCAGTCTATCTCATAACCCAGTGACGTTCACAGATCCACACAATCCACCGCAACCCTTTTCCTCCACAGCAATCCACCATAACAGGATACTAATTTTTACAATTAGGGCAGGGTCATCAACAAACGTGCCGAGTTTTTGTCATTGTTGTGTCACCAGCAGCAGCAGCAGCATCACAAAACTACATTTATCGAAACTTTCAAGTGATGGATCACAGGCGTGCGCCGCCGACACCACCACCGCCGCCACCCCCAGGCCCAACTGGTTGACTCGCTGACCTAAGGATTGGTCGACTCACTCACCCAATTGATGAGGACGTACTTGGACAGGCCTGTGTTTGGGTCCTTCACGCGAGCAAATGCGTACATCACCTTCCCGCTGCTCAGCTCCTCCACCATCTCCTCCAGCCCACCCGCTGCATGTACAGACCCACAGAGACAAAGATCCCCCCTAGAGTCGTTGGGGCAAGTGCAGTTAGCGCGAGCATCTGTTCATGCCAGCACGGGGCATGTGCAGGTGTGGTCTGGCCACCATCATGCCCGACTGCCTTTGCTTCCCCAGCACTGACATTGACACACACTGCATCGGGTACTCATTTACAAGCTGAATCGACCTAAGGGAAGCTCACAACCGGTTCAGATAATCACCACTGATGTTAGTTACGGCCGAGAATCAAACGCAGGTTGCTAGGTTTGAAGCACAGCACTCAGTCTCACACACACGGCCAAATCATTCAAGCGTTCATTCATGGAGCTAAAGCCACCTCCGCTGATATTTAGTCATGATTTCACGTGCAAATCTATCAATGCAAAAAATGCAACACCCATCGACATTATAGCAAAAACATTAGTGCAGTGCAATGTTTTTTTATAGAGATGTGACACCTGAACAATGTTATTGTACTTGCTATACAACGACGGAGATCAATATGCGACATTCTTTAAATGCAATCGGTCAAAGCTTGGGCAAGATGCTGAAAACGTGTTTACGTGGCACTTTGTGCTTTAGGTCCGAGCCATAGCATTCTGTACCCGCAACATCTCAACAGGACTAGCATTTCCTTCGTCTTCTGCCAAGCCAACCACAACCTTCGCATTAAAAATGCAACATTGAGGGGCATGAAATAGTGATATTTAACTCGGACCAAAAATCTCACCACGTCATATTTAAACGAGGTATCAGTGTCACAGTAATACCCAATTTCTCATGTTAACTACAAAAAATGATTGTACTTCTACAGTACTTTTTGTCATTCCACTGCTGGATGAGGGCTTTCTCACACCATGCAACACGTGGGAGGATTATGTGACCTTACTTCACCACGCTGCTCAATGTGGGTTGAAGACGGATAGCAAAGATGTTGAGACGTAATACGGGAGAATGGATTATGTTGCACTTCCCGATATTGACAACATAGCCCCATAGGCTCCCTACAAAAACATGTTTTTTATGCCACGATGATTGCCCTTCCAAGCACTATCCAGGCGAAATCATGCTAAGCTTCTGTTATTGGACAAGCTCAGTTGCATTCTGGGTGAATTGTTTTTTCCAAAAATGACTACCGGTGCAAAATGTTCTGTGCAAACCCGCGCAGCTACTTACATCCTGTGCCGGCCGTTTTAACATCGTTGCTGTTACCTTCGTACGTGAAAAGAGCCCTATGAGGAAGAGAAGACACGAGTCAATTATTGTTGTGTTGACACGGTCTGCCCTCCCTGCAGACGCCATGTGACACTGCCAACATGCAGGAGCAGGCCCACCCGCCCCATTTGCGTGCCACCGTCACGGGAGATGAGACAGCGTTGGGAGGAGGATATCGCAGGGCATGTCAGTCCACGTTCGGCAGTGCTCACAACCTTGCAACTGCGGGAACATTTGAATGTATAAATTATATTTTTTAACCCCCCCCCCCCCTTAAATATACTGGGAACTTGCTGATTTAGTGAGTACAGAATGTTATTCTGTCGTAAATTAATATTTGTAGGAGAAAAGACATGCCTAATGCATAAGACACGATTGAGTGTTTATTCTGGGTCTCGGAAAGAAAAGAATATAAAATTACACTGCACGTCATGGTGAAAATACTTATTATACACACGGGATGCATAATTCATTCTGCATCTTTTATTCCATACCAAACAATACACTTAATATTCTTGCAAGTAGAACACTAGCCTGCACTGCAACCACATTTTTCCATCTTAGCAAGCATTTGCATCATGTGGCAGTCGATTTAGGCGAAACAAAGCAGCAGCACATCTTATGCTTGTCAATTTAACATAATACCAAAAAACAAATAGCCTGCCAGTACAGTGCCATGATAGAGAACCTGCCTTCTTGATGGCCAAAGAGGATTAAAATTCCTGTTTGACAGCCCAGGACATGCTGCCTGGGTAGGAATCAACATGATAAGGGCTATTTGTTTTTTGGGTTGTCCCCTTATTTTAAGCCGCACAATTCCAAGAATGTATATGAGCACCATCACACGTAATGCCACTTTGACAGCCAATTTAGACCGGCAGATGACCTTTGGTGGCCAGAGGATTAATTCATTTTGGTTTACTGAAGATAAATCCCTTTTGTCTGATTGTAACAAGGGGCTACATAAGCCTAATGAGTGTTTCCTTGCAACGAAGAATCTGCTATGGGAATGAATACTAGAAAACCAATTTTGTTAAAATATCACGGCAGAGCTGTTTAAAGAATAACGCTGTAAAAAGGTAGACCAGTGGAAATATCTAGGAAGTGCAAGAATAGAAGATGTCAAAATCTGAAGTGAAATCACAGCCAATATTTTTTTCAGTCCTTCCTACCAGAAGGATTGGAAAAGATTGAAAAACAATAATTGTAATGGCTGTGATATGAAATGTAGGAACCTGTACATTAGGAAAGGAAGACATCAGAAGAGGCTTTAGAATTTAAAAGAAAGTATGTTTGAGGTCAAATGGGAAAAAAATTCCACTGGACAGAAAGGAAAAATCAACAAGTTCACAAATCTGATAATGAACATTCAAAGAGGCCATCACAACTAAAGAGGGGATATATTTTCAAATGGGAAGTCTTGCTTAGGAAAGCTCTAGAAGCAAGGATGCTAGAAATTCAAAAAGGGCAGAATGGATTACTTGAAAAGAGAGACAAATATTCGGAATTGAAGAGGAAATCACAAGATCATACTTGGTGGAGAAACCTTGAGTGGAGACCTCGCCTTTAGGCAGATAAATTGAAAGACCTGGGATTACTTGAAATAAGAACAGCAAAATAGCACAGACATTGTTGAAAACACGAAGAGAAAAAAGGTGTTTCAAAACCAAGGATGTTATTGAGCAGGCCCTTATGTAATTAGCCACACCCGAACATTTGGGTCGTCTATCTATGAATTATTACACAATCTGTCACTATCACATATATGCAGGCAGTATCACCAGCTGTCGTGCTGGCGTGCTGTGCACACAGTTTTGTAGGGCAAGCAGAAGCAATAAAGGAAAACGGATGCATATTGTGCAGCAACTGTGGATTGTGGCAATGCGGTGAGGGCAACGTGTTACCTACCCAGCGAGCTGAGTTTTATTCTCCACCGTGGCTAATCGGAAGCGATTTAGGGTGTCCACCCCTCCCACTTTCACCGACCCTCACTGACCAGAGTGGTGAAGTATGGTCAAACCCCTACAATGTAGGAAGGCCATCGCCCAGCAGTAGATTGAGAAAATTGGCTGTAAATGTTTGTTATTATTATTATTTGTTGTGCTGCAACATTGCGCGGTGTTCAATGTTCACTGTCCTGGGACCACACCGCCGCAAACACATTTTAACTCTTTTTCGAGTTCCGTGCGGAGGGTCAATCAGAAGTTGAAAACTTCCACGGGCCTCTAATTTATCAGCAGGAAACAGAACGCTGTGTGTGTGGCTCCTAAACAGGAAGCCTGGCTTTCAGCAGCTCACACTTCCCAAAACGACTGTGTGAGCATTCGCTGTGCGGTCGCGTGCACCGCACGATGCACTTACAATCATGTTCCATCTATTGTGGAAGAGGGCTAGTGCTGGTAGCAGACAAACTTAATGGAGTTTTCAAACTCTGCTATTAAAAGTGTAACGTGTTTAATGTAGTGAATTGATGCTTCTAAATAAGAAGGTATTAACGGGTTATAACGTGTACAATGAACTTCAAATCAAGTTAGTTAAGTACAGGAGATGTCTGTTGTGGGATACTGATATAACAGATTGGTGCTGATAGTGGCAAGTTGTGGGCTGTGGACATTATTGAGACAATAGACTTGCAAAATACTGTGTTAACAACACACTGAACTGCTTTGTGGGTTCATGTTGTTGAATCAATATATGCATGTCGTAACCAAGGAATTACATCATTCTGCTAACTAAAAGCAATGCAAACTACATGTTTTGAAAATGCATTTAGCAATGGCTTTTCAACTAAACTCAATATAGATGACTTGTTTTTTTTATTATTTCCATGAAAGCCCAAATATTTGTATGCAGTGACTAGCTTATTTTCAATTACTTTGTCAATTTAAGTGTCTAATTTTTCATGCGTATCAAGATAACTACTCCTATACTCGAACCATTTGTCAATAACACTACCTTAAAATTTAAATATATACAGGTGATGTTTCGGGTAATGGGCCTTCTTCGCAGCACATTAATTTTCCTAAGAATGCTCCACCAATTTAAATGAATGAGTTACTCGACAGCTAATGATAGGTAGCTTATACGACTGGAGTCAAAAGCAACCAAAAAAATGCATCGGTTCCAGCAGTTCATCTGCTCTATGATAATAAATCAAAAAGGCACGCGTTAAAAGTCGCGTTTCAAAATCATACACCGGATTGACGTGCGCCATTGTAGACGGATGTTTAAGCGGGTGCAGGATGAGCCACTGAATCTTGAACCGGTTTTCCATTCCAGCAAACAGAACTGTAGTGTATAAACTTCTGAGTGGTGAATAGTGGACACATGATGAATGGTGAGTGGGGTCAGGTGAGCGATTAATATGTGGCAATGGTCAGGTGAGTGGTCACGTGTTATACACATCACCACACCCACAGGACGGACTGTCAGTGGCAGACCTTCAGACCAAGTAGTTAAATTACACATTACCAAGGCGGGGGACCAGTCTATCCAGAATATTCATTGAATTGGTGATTCGAAAATATGGTTCATCTAAATTGTCTTATGGTTGTTGTTGGCTTGCACCACATTGTGATATCTGCACATGGTGTTTTAATACGGTTTTTTGTGTGGAATATTTGCTGGTTTATTCCTGGATGTTTCTGTTGCGCGACGTCGCTTTGGGATGTTCTGTGTTCATATTTAGTTTGTTGCAGTTGCACCCGACTTAAGAGCCACATGGCTCACAGGGCTATACCTAATAAATGAAACTTGAAAACTTAAAACAACAGGCAAGTGGTTCTCATAACGATGGCGGTGAATGTACATTTGCACCACGTTTCTACCAACATAAATACAGACAGGTAGCTGGCACAGTTGTAGAGCGAGCGGCTCGCAATGAGAAAGCTGCGAGTTCAAATCATGGTTGGGAGGTTGACTCATGCCCCCCACCCCTCCTGGACGGTCAAAATGAGTTTCCACTTTGGTGGGCTCCTCTGGAAAGACTGCGCTCACATCCAGCCACGAAAAGAATGTGGAATGTCCCACTGCTGGCTGTAAACAGGACACGAGCATCGCCACAAATGCAGCAGGAAAATCACTTAAGACTTTTTACTGTTAGGAACCTCCTGGTTACACCAGCCCACAGGGGATTATTGTGTCCGTCGTGCAGGGAGGGGCTGGGTGGGGAGGGGCTGGGTGGGGAGGGTGGGGCTGGGTGGGGGGGTGTGGCTGGGTGGGGAGGGTAGGGTAGGGAGGGGCTGGGTGGGGAGGGTGGGGCTGGGTGGGGCTGGGTGCGGTGGGGCTGGTCGCCCCGTGGTGCCCTTATAAAACTCAACGTTTAACCTACTCACGCCGGCTTGTGCCCGCCCTCACAGTCGGGCATATTTGCGGAATACACCACGCCGCCGTTGACCCCGGCCATTGACCGAGCAACCCAACGTTCCTACCAGCTCCCTCCGCAGGAATGTATTTTTCCTCGCCCAACTTTGTTCATGAGAAAGGGAAAAAAAGTTTCAACGCAGCTGGGCGTGGTTGTGGCTCTGCATTCCTGCGATCTCGCGCGGTGGAGGCAAGGGTTCAACAAGTGGATTCGTGAACCCATCTGTGCGGATCTTTGTGAAATTCCCTTTGCATTCCCCGGTTTGCCCTTCACGAAGCAAATTTTTAATTGAATTGCATTAATAACACAGCGCATTGTGAACTTTATAATCAAGTAATATCCCATCGAGTTAAAATATTCCTGTCTTTGGAGTCCAACACAGTACTGTAATCCCAACACAGACCCATCCTGGAACGAGTCTTCACACTCAAAGAGTATTTTTTCTCAGATATAAAAAAAACGAAGGCGCTTATTATGTTTTGATCGCTTTGTCAATCCACTGCTGCTTGAAAGGTCTCAGACCACGCCGCGTTCGGTCACAGAGGTGGTTCGACTATACTTCACAACGCTGGTGAGTGAAGAGGTGAGTGAGAAGGTGAGGAGGAGGTGAGGAAGAGGTGAGGAAGAGGTGAGGGTATCTGAATCAATGTCCAGATATCACTCGATACTGCCTTTACACCACGACCACGAATCGTATTCAGGTAGCAGACTTATAAGCGCAAATGTATTAAACGACTGCGCCGTCAACTGCTGCCATTTACATTACTGTACTGTATATATATTTCAACCACCTTTTTAATTCATCATGAAAAACAACTCCCTGCTCCATTAAGTTCGCTCGGGACAGACCCCAGAACTCCGCCCCACCCCCTTCGGGCCTGGTCGCACTGGCCGGGTGACGGCGCGCCGCCCTCGGTAGAGGCAACTAGCCGAGGCGCCCTTGACGCCCCGAACAAGGAAGCCGCTTCATTTAAAAACAAACCCCTCCACCCCCACCACTGAAAACTTGAACGTCGCTTGAAGGACAAAGAGGGAGAGTTGTGTGTGTGAGACACGCACCAGTCGGTGTCTGACTTCTCGTCCACGACCTGCTGGTACGCTGCGAGCAGGGCTGTCTTGTTTTTCGTCAGGTTGACCGCCATGGCTGGTCCCGTGTGGGCGCCAGGTGTCGATTCCTCGATTCCCCTCTTCGTGGTGGTGGTGGGTGGGGCGTGCTCGGTTCGATTAGTCGAACTCTCGATCCGGCTGGATCGATTCGAAATGAATTAAAGTTGAGGATGAATGAAACAGGAGGAATATTAAAGGAGGATTTTTTTTGTCCCACAAAATCTGGATGTCTGACTGATGATGCCGGTTGTAAATACTCAGATTGTAAGTTTTGTGGATTTGCTCTCCGACACACCGGTGTGCTGTCCTAGTAACGAATTGGCACGTTCTGTTTACGTAACAAACCTTACTAATTGGCTGCGTCGGGTGGTGGAGGGTTTAACGACACATTTATATTCTTAGGTTTTTTCGGTAAAGTCACGTAGGTAAAAAAATAAAATTAATAAAAGTAAAATAAAAAGACGGAAGCTTGTGTTGCCTCCGAAACGTCGTGATTTTCATTTTTATTTTACTTTCATTAATTTAAATTTTTACCTACATGACTTTACCGAAAAAAACCTAAGTATATGAATCCTTGCAGTCACGAAAGCTTCAAAACCTATTTTATGGAAATGTTATTCGCGCTACAACTAAATTATTATGTTTTTGCCAGGCAGCCATCGACTTACAAATACCCGCACTTATGAACCAGCTTCCACGAAATGTTTTTTTTTACATTGACTAAAACATTTGCACCGCGGCATTATTTCGTTCAGCTGAGCTGAGCTCTTCTCCGTGAGATGCAATGAGTCGTGCTCGGAGTGACGTTTGTGTGCGTGTGCATTTAATTCGATGACTGGTACCAGCGGTGTCAAGATCGGCCTCTGTGGAAGAGGCTCGTGAAGGACGCTACTGGGCCGTTGGAGGCAGTCGCCCTCCAACAACAACGGAGGGCGGAGGAGCGACGCTCACAACAACGAGCGGAGTGCCGGGTGGATAAAGCACAGCAAGTTGGCACAGGAGGGGGCACAGGTGATGTATCAGCCAGTCGTCTTAGTCAGTTGACCCGTGGCACCTGCTGGGTCTGCCCCGTGACCTCCTGCCAGCGGGCGTTCGACACTTTACGTTGCCTCAAGGTGCACATGGCCTGGCACAAGCGTTGTGGTGACGTCACCGCCACTTAGTGGCGAATGGCGGTTGTTGTTAATTCGATTACTGTGTTCTGACTTACGAACCGTTTGACGAACGAACGCGTCCCAACGAACGAATTGTGTTCGTAAGTCAAGGATTATCCTTTCTAGATTTTTTTTTCTGAAGCGACCTGGCCACCAAATGATAGTTCAACGAAGTGGCTTATCACGTGGAAATTGATAGCAGTCAAATACTCGAAACGCACGTTGATTCTAAATGTGGAGGGAACAACTCGAAAACCCGGAGAAAAATCACGCGATCGCGGGGAGAGAGAGACATGGAAACTCCGAATATAAAAATTACGTCAGGATAAGATCTGTCGTGAGGTATTTTAAAATAAAATTATTCTCTTGGATTTAAATATTCTGGCGAAAAAAGACGTAAATAGGAGCACAAATTAAAACGTCACAGTAAATTAAATGAACCGTTGCAGTCTTCTGTGTCCGTTACTCCCACCTCTTTGGTGTCGCTATCGATTAGATGTCTTCCGAACATCTTCCGGAGTTTCAACTCAATGTTTATTTGTTACAGGGGAAATTCCGTTTAGCCAGTTACCCAGTGGCAATGGCCCGCAACCACTTACAACAGAGCCATTGTTGGGGTGGAAGGAGCCCAGCCAGCAGCCATCCAGGAAAATCAAGGCATAGATTATTTTAATAGTTTCATTGATTTTGGGTATGGCTTTGTGTGGGAGGAAACCAAAGTATCCTGCGAAAACCCACCAGGCATGCGAGGAGATATACACTCAAAACTCCACACAGACGGGTTCGTGATCCCACTGACGTCTCCTGACCACCAGCTCACAGCAGCCCAGTGGGTTTGGGAATTTCACGCGCAAATTCTACACGGTTTAACACGTAGACTTTCGCGACCAATATTACACTGGTCAACACACTTTTTCTGGCATAAGGTATTCCAACGGGTTTAATGTAATTTTGGGGTGCTGATTCCAAATCTGGCATCAGTTTTTGTCTATCACATCAGGTTTTTGAGATATCAAATATTGCATTTTCAATAAAAACTGCAGAAGAAAAATATTAAATAAATGTGGATATCTACATAAAATTATATTATAAACACACTATCCTAAAAATACAGCACCATATTTTAACACTAAAGCAGTCACTGACTCGCAACAACTTGCAATCATAAGTGACAGAGTTAATTTCGGGTAAAATCAATGAAAATGGGGTATGCCGATAGCATAAAAATGATGTGATAGAGCAAATCTGAGATCAGATTTGGAATCAGCACCCTGAAATTAGTCTAAAACAGCTGCAAAAGTCCAGGCCAGAAAAAAATGTTTTTTTTTGTTGACCAGTGTTATTCATAATAAACGTTTTTGGGTTTTATCGCGTTATTTATAAATGTGTCGTTGCCCCTACATCGCCCGACACGGCCAATCAGTAAAAATTAGAGAATGCATTGAAATTGAGATAAATAGAAATTACTTTAATCGCTCTGACAGCGACAGGCTTAGTGCGGCCTGGAAGCGTATTATTAAAGAATACATATTACATTTCCTTATAGGGGAAACACATACTAATTAACTGATTACTAACGTAGCATATAATTACAATAACACACATTACAACTAATTACTAATCTACAACTCATTACTAATTATAATAATTAACTGATTACTAATCTATGATATAATTACAATACCCCCCCTCCGCCTCAAATCACAGCACCTGAATTAGTTAAATGATGACGTCACCCTGCTGCTTTATTTAAGACCGGGAGCAAGTGAGGGCTTCGCCATTCTGACAAATTGCCCGATGATGCTTGATGTAATTACCAGCGAAACTTCGTACTCAATTTTTTTTGTAAATGTTGTGGATTCACTCTTCAACACACTGGTGGGCTAAAGTAGTGAATAATTTTTCTTTTGTCAACGTGACACTTTTTTTTTACTTTTTTTTTACTGATTGGCCGTGTCGGGTAGTGGAGGGTTACAACACATTTATAAACAACGCGATATAACCCAAAACGTTTATTATGAAATTCTACACGATCCACGAACCCTCGCTAGATCACAGGTGTGCCATAGTCAGAGGTGATGCTGGCCCTTTCGGGGTCTTGACAAACTTTAAACACGCAATATTGGGCCAACTTTGGCATGTACTTGGAATCGTTGGACCAATGTTGACCCAACGTTCCAAGTTTACTAGGTTGTGAGATGACGGAAGAGATACAGACAAGAGACATAGATGTATGAAGCGATATAAGAAGGGAGGTGTAGATGACACCTACAGTGAGGGAAAAAAGTATTTGATCCCCTGCTGATTTTGTACGTTTGCCCACTGACAAAGAAATGATCAGTCTATAATTTTAATGGTAGGTTTATTTGAACAGTGAGAGACAGAATAACAACAAAATCCAGAAAAACGCATGTCAAAAATGTTATAAATTGATTTGCATTTTAATGAGGGAAATACGTTTTTGACCCCTCTGCAAAACATGACTTAGTACTTGGTGGCAAAACCATTGTTGGCAATCACAGAGATCAGACGTTTTTTGTAGTTGGCCACCAGGTTTGCACACTTCTCAGGAGGGATTTTGTCCCACTCCTCTTTGCAGATCTTCTCCAAGTAATTAAGGTTTCGAGGCTGACGTTTGGCAACTCAAACCTTCAGCTCCCTCCACAGATTTTCTATGGGATTAAGGTCTGGAGACTGGCTAGGCCACTCCAGGACCTTAATGTGCTTCTTCTTGAGCCACTCCTTTGTTGCCTTGGCCGTGTGTTTTGTGTCATTGTCATGCTGGAATACCCATCCACGACCCATTTTCAATGCCCTGGCTGAGGGAAGGAGGTTTTCACCCAAGATTTGACGGTACATGGCCCCGTCCATCGTCCCTTTGATGCGGTAAAGTTGTCCTGTCCCCTTAGCAGAAAAACACCCCCAAAGCATAATGTTTCCACCTCCATGTTTGACGGTGGGGATGGTGTTATTGGGGTCATAGGCAGCATTCCTCCTCCTCCAAACACGGCGGGTTGAGTTGATGCCAAAGAACTCCATTTTGGTCTTATCTGACCACAACACTTTCACCCAGTTGTCCTCTGAATCATTCAGATGTTCATTGGCAAACTTCAGACGGGCATGTATATGTGCTTTCTTGAGCAGGGGGACCTTGCGGGCACTGCAGGATTTCAGTCCTTCACTGCGTAGTGTGTTACCAACTGTTTTCTTGGTGACTATGGTCCCAGCTACCTTGAGATCATTGACAAGATCCTCCCGTGTAGTTCTGGGCTGATTCCTCACCGTTCTCATGATCATTGCAACTCCACGAGGTGAGATCTTGCATGGTGCCCCAGGCCGAGGGAGATTGACAGTTCTTTTGTGTTTCTTACATTTGCGAATAATCGCACCAACTGTTGTCACCTTCTCACCAAGCTGCTTGGTGAGGGTCTTGTAGCCCATTCCAGCCTTGTGTAGGTCTACAATCTTGTCCCTGACATCCTTGGAGAGCTCTTTGGTCTTGGCCATGGTGGAGAGTTTGGAATCTGATTGATTGCTTCTGTGAACAGGTGTCTTTTATACAGGTAACAAGCTGAGATTAGGAGCACTCCCTTTAAGAGTGTGTTCCTAATCTCAGCTAGTTACCTGTATAAAAGACACCTGGGAGCCATACATCTTTCTGATTGAGAGGGGGTCAAATACTTATTTCCCTCATTAAAATGCAAATCAATTTATACAAATTTTGACATGCGTTTTTCTGGATTTTTGTTGTTGTTATTCTGTCTCTCACTGTTCAAATAAACCTACCATTAAAATTATAGACTGATCATTTCTTTGTCAGTGGGCAAACGTACAAAATCAGCAGGGGATCAAATACTTTTTTCCCTCACTGTACATCTAGTTAAGTGCGAGAGAAATATTGAGTTAAATCAGTACAGAGAGATATAGACAAGATAGAGATAGAAATGCAAAC